AAAAAAAAAATTGTAATGAATTTTTTCCAAACATAAAACAGATCTTATTGGACAGTTTATTTTTAGTTTAGTTTAGTTTGGTTTTGTTACATAAATGTACATTATACATACCGGGGCCTTTTGAAACTTTTTGTTTCAAAATTTTTCTCTTTTTTCCCTGGATGTTATATTTTACGTAACAGAAATTTTGCGTTTTTTTCCTTCAAAATTTAAATTAAATTAATTTTTTTTAATTTTCTTTTTTTTAAAAAAAACAGAGTAAAAGATCGACGACGATCAATGGGATGATACATGAAAAAAATGGATTCCAGTCAACAACAACAACAATTATCAATAACAATCGGCAACAACAACAACAATCGACAACAACAACAACCGACAACAATGAAATTAAAACCAAATCATCATCAAATTAATATAATGTTATTATAACAAAGTTGTAAATTATTTATTTATTCATTTATCTATCTCAATGTTGTTGTTATTATCATTTGATCACTACATTTACTGGCCATCTCTTTACAGTTAAATAAATAATCTTGGTTAACTGAATTTTCTATCAACCGACAACAAAGAAAATTGAAAACTTATTTAAATCAATCAAGCTCATTTTTGCTCCAAACAACAACAACAAAAAAGTTTGCTCAACCAAAGAAAACATCGAGAAAAACCATAATATATATATATATTTTGATTATCAATGAATATAAACGATGGAAATAAGCTTTAATCAAAGTGATATTAATATTTTTAATCTATTTAAATTATTATTGATGATCAATGCGAATGAATCAAATATTATCGTTTCTTCTTCTTCTTTGGCTGCTGCTGATGATAATCATACCGCAACAACAACAATAAATGATACACGTTTTATTCGTTCATTTTCATATTTCACAGATACACAACATCAAACAACAACAATAACAAATTTAACCAAAGATTGTTATCATTTATCATCATCATCATCAAATCAATTGAAGAGCTTTACAACAACAACAACTAATGATAATTATAATTATATTGAAGAATTATTAAAAGAAAAATTTAATAATGCAACAGTTATAATATCAGTTATAATACTTGTATTAATCAATATAATGGTTATATTTGGTAATATATTAGTTATATTAAGTGTTTTTACATCACAAAAATTACGTACTGTAACAAATTTTTTTATTGGTAATTATATTTTGTAATTTGATATTTGATTAATTATTGAATAATTTTTCATTTTGTTTTATTGTTATCAACAAAAAAAAAAAAAAAAAAAAGTATCATTAGCAGTTGCTGATTTTTTAGTCGGTATTGCTGTTTTACCTTATTCGCTTACATTCGAGGTAAGTGTGTGTAAATAGAAATTCTTTTAAATTTTCTTCATCATCAATTTCACTCTCTCTCTCTCTCTCTCTCTCTCTCTCTCCCTTCGAAAAAAAATCCATTTTAGATTCTAGACACGTGGATATTTGGTGAAGTTTGGTGTCAAGGATGGTAAATAATCATAATAATAATAATAATAATAATAATCATTAATGAATAATGATCATCATCATTGATAATAATGATAATGAATGAATGAATGAATGATCATCATCATCATCATCGAACATTCATTACTTTCATTTATTTATTCTATTTTTTTTTTCTTTTGCTATTTTATTTTTTTTCTTTTGGATAAATTCCTATAGGCTTGTGATTGATGTTTGGATGTGTACGGCAAGCAGTAAGTATTATTCAGTATATTCATTTCATTCCATTTTCCCGAAATTTTGTTTTCTCCCAAGCACACTTTGTGTGTGTGTGTGTTTCGATGTTCGATAAAACTAGATTAGTCGAAATGTTTCTATATTTTTTTTTTCGTTTCGTTTCGTTTTTCGTTGTTGTTTACATTGTCTACAATCATCAACATCATTATATTTTTTTTTCTTCTTTTCTTACTACAGTATTAAATCTATGTGCAATATCGGTCGATCGTTATTTAGCCGTTACAAGACCTGTTCGTTATCGTAGCTTAATGACTGCCAAAAGAGCAAAATTTATTATTGCCTGTGTTTGGATTATATCATTTATTATTTGTTTTCCACCCGTAAGTATTTACTATGGAATTGAAATGAAAAAAAAAATTCTCATTTTAGTTTTTGTTTTTCGGCTTTTTTGTTAATTGTTTTTTTTTTCGTTTTCTTCTTTGATCGACAACAAAAACAACAACAAACTTTTTTTGCTTCTTTCCTTTTTGCATCATCGAAATTCTCACTAATTAACCAAAATTACAGCTTTTACTTGGTAAACAAGAATCTTTTTCAACAATACAACAACCGAATATTAATATAACCACCACCACCACCGCATCATCCTCATCTTCATCGAATGATTCTTTAACATATCAATTTTCTTCATCTTCGATTCCGACCAATTTTTCGTTATCTTCTCCTTCTACGCCATCTTTATCTTCAAATTCTTCAACGTGGTTTTCAGCAACAACAACAAGTGTTACAAATGAAAAAGAGCCATCGTCTTCCTTTGTATTGGGCGCCAACAATCATGAATCTCCAAAAACCGAAGATTATCTTTCTTCCACCATTAATAATCAAAATTTTTCAACAACAACAGCGAACAAAATTAATGAACGAAATTCTTCTTCAGATTTTGAAACATCATATTTGAAACAACAACAACAACAACAACATTGTAAACCACAAACCGTCCAATGTGCTTTGTTTCGTAACAAAAGCTATGTGATATATTCAGCATTAGGTTCATTTTTTATACCAATGTTTGTTATGATAATATTATATTGGAAAATATATTTAGTTGCAATTCGTACAAGTCGTGCCTTGAAAAAAGGTTATCGTATAACAAAAGCTTCATGTGAAGAAAATCAAGAACGTTTAACATTAAGAATACATCGTGGTTATTGTGGTGGTGGTAGTGTACAAGAAGATAGTTTACATGAAAAACGTTCATCAATTGATCATCATCATGACCAACAACAACAACAACATTGTCAACGAACATCATGGACAACATCATATAATCGTCAATCAAAAACAATTGAAACAGCATTAACAACATCAACAAATGATAATCCAACAACAATCAATAATAATAATAATACTGTGATAATAACAAATAAATTATTATCACCACCAAATCGTATGATAATACGTAATGGTAATGGTGATAATAATAATAATCGTCATCATCATCATTCATCAAGCCATTCACATACAAGCAGTATTCAATCAGGTAGTAGTCCATCATCATCACGTGAAGGTAGTGCACGTAGTAATAAATTAATAACAACAACAACAACAACAACAATTCCATCAAGACAATTATCACATCCAAGTAAACGTTCAACAAAATATCAAGCAAAACGTTTTCATGCTGAAACAAAAGCAGCTAAAACTGTTGGTATTATTGTTGGTGGATTTATTGTTTGTTGGTTAGTATTCTTTTTTTTTTTTTTTTTGATTGATCCATTCATTCAATTTTCGTTCAATCACTTTTTTCGTTTC